AGATCCTATTGCAGAGACTGGAATATTTCATTGGCATTAAAGGAACCGCTCTAAGCTGGTTTAAGTCCTATTTATCAGATCGATTTCAGTTTGTACATGTTAACGATGAGTCCTCCATGCATGCCAAAGTTACTCATGGAGTTCCTCAAGGATCTGTCCTCGGACCAATCCTCTTCACAGGATCAGTTAGCTAAACTTCAAATGTGCACCTCCATGACGCATTATCTAAAGATATAGTTTCCCTGGATGGCATCGCCTTGGCCTCCAGCACCACTGTGAGGAATCTTGGAGTTATCTTTGATCAGGACATGTCGTTTTTCAAGTCTCACATTAAGCAAATTTCAAGGACCGCCTTTTTTCACCTACGTAATATTGCGAAAATCAGGAACATCCTGTCTAAAAATGATGCAGAAAAACTAGTCCATGCATTTGTTACTTCTAGGCTGGATTACTGCAATTCCTTATTATCAGGCTGCTCGAAAAAGTCCATTAAGACTCTTCAGCTGATCCAGAATGCTGCAGCACGTGTTCTGACAGGAACCAGGAAAAGAGATCACATTTCTCCTGTCTTAGCTTCTTTGCATTGGCTTCCAGTAAAATCCAGAATAGAATTTAAAATCATTCTTCTTACCTACAAAGCTCTTAATGGTCAGGCACCATCTTATCTTAAAGAGCTCATAGTACCTTACTACCCCACCAGAGCACTGCGCTCCCAGAATGCAGGGTTACTTGTGGTTCCTGCCAGAGCGTTCAGCTATCAAGCTCCTCTCCTGTGGAACCAGGTTCCAGTTTGGGTTCAGGAGGCAGACACCATCTCCACATTTAAGAGTAGGCTTAAGACTTTCCTCTTTGATAAAGCTTATAGTTAGGGCTGGCTCAGGTGAGTCCTGAACCATCCCTTAGTTATGCTGCTATAGGCCTAGACTGCCCGGGGATTTCCCATGATGCACTGAGCTCCTCTCTCCTCTACTTTCTCTCCCTCTGTATGCAACCTCATCCCATTATTGCATGTTACTAACACAACTTCTCCCCTTTCTGGTAGTCTTGTGCTTTCTCGTCTCTCTCCTCTCTCCTCCTATCACTTCCTGCAGGTGTTTCTGGCTCTGGAGCTGTGGAGTCTGGATCTGTGGCTGCGGGTCACCTGCTGCCCCCGTGTTCCTGCTTGACACCCTCTGCTGCAACGACTATTGTTGCTAGTCCTATTGTTACTATTGTAATTATAATCATTAACATTACGACTGTTATCATTAACACTACTATAAATATCTGTACCATTTTTCATTTAGTCTATAGCAACATTACCTTTACTGTCTGTACCTCTGTGTGTATATTGTGTAGGCTGCCTCCCTCCCCTCTCTCTCTCCTTACATCCCTCTCTCTCCCTCTCTCTCTCTCTCTCTCTCTCTCACCCCAACCGGTGGAGGCAGATGGCCGCCCACCCTGAGCCATGGTTCTGCTCGAGGTTTCTGCCTCTTAAAGGAAGTTTTTCCTTGCCTCTGTCTCCTAGTGCTGCTCTTGGTGGGAACTGTTGGGCTTCTGTAAATATCATCACAGAGTACGGTCTAGATCTGCTCTTTTATGAAAAGCGCTGTGAGATAACTGTTGTTGTGATTTGGCACTATATAAATAAAATTGAATTGAAAAATTGAATTGAATTCTGTCCACCTGTAAACACGCAGGTGGGTCCAGAGTATAACTGGATCAAAGTGGCTTGCGGACAGACATGTCCTGGTTTCTCTGTAGTGTCCGAGGGTTTTTGGAGTTTCAGTGGACCCAAAGATTGCTATGGACCTGAGTACAGACTAGCTAGAGAGAGTAGATTAATTGTACTTCTCTGTTCTCTTTTAAAAATAATTGTAACTCAATTATTTACTCAACCCTCAGCCTGTTTTTATTTTCCATTTAAATCTTTTAACCCTGATTGTACACTGTAACTTTTATTATATTTTATGTTGCTTTTAAACTTTTTTATATTTCCCTGTTGCTTTTCTGTTTTATGTAAAGCACTTGTTAGTGAAATGTGCTATACAAATAAACTTGCCTTGCCTTTACATAATAAACCATTTAAAAAGACAACAAACCTCTTTTCAGATGGGTCAGAACAGAAGAGTCTATGGTCACATTTAAAGATGATCTGCTTTCACAAGACGGAGAAATAATATATAAGGAAAATGATATTGATAAAGTATATGGTGAATTCCTAAGATTATTTCAATTATTATATAAGAACTGTCCAATAAAAAATATTGTGGAAAACAAGAATATAGTGATAGACCGTAGATTTCAAAAGCATTACAAAATGCTTGTAAATAGAAAAATACACTTTATAGAGAATTTATTAAACACAGAAGTATAGAAGCAGAAAATAAATATAAGAAATATAAAAAATAAGTTAAACTGCAAAAATCATACTTATGTACAAAACTGGAGACAAACACCACTTCACAAATTACAGGCCTGTCTCTCTACTGCCACAATTTTCAAACATTCTAGAAAAACTCTTCAATGACAGATTGGACAAATTCATAGATATGGGTTAGGGTTACTTACTGACAGCCAACCCTTTAAAGAAATTACAAACTCCACAGACCAAAAGAAATATGGAGCTGGGGTATTGATTGATTTGAAAAAAAGCATTTGATACAATTATTCATGATATATTAATAAATAAACTGGAAAAAGCTCGGGATCGGGGGGATAGTGCTGAATTGGTTGAGCAGTTATTTAAAAGACAGGAAACAATTTGTTAAGTTGGGAGATTATACATTTGAATGTTTGGACATTGCGTGTGGTGTCCCCCAGGGGTCAGTGTTGGGACCAAAATAATTTTACCATCTACATAAACGACATTTGTAAAGTATCTGAACTACTGAAATTTGCATTATTTGCAGACAACACTAACATCTTTAGTTCTGGTCAGAATTCACAGCAACTCCTGGACTTAATCACTTCAGAATTCAGAAAAAATAAAACAGTTCTTTGACACAAAAAAGTTAACGGCTGTGGCTCAGGAGGTAGAGTAGGCTGGCTGTTAATCGGAAGGTCGGCGGTTCAAACCCTGGCTCCCTGGTTGCATGTCGAAGTGTCCTTGGGCAAGATACTGAACCCCGAATTACCCCTGGTGGCTGTTCCGCCAGTGTATGAATGTGTGTGAATGTTAGTTTCTGTTTGAGCACTTAGGCTCAGTGAGTGAATGATGAATGCAGATGTAGTGTAAAAGCACTTTGAGTGGTTGAAAAGACTCGAAAGGCAGAGTATATAAGTACGGAGCATTTGCATTAAATTTGAGCAAAATTAAATTCATTATATTTGGCAATTGTAAATCAATCAATCAAGTTCAGTTACAGATCGAAGGTGTCGAAATGAAATTGCTGGGAGTGACAAGATTTGCTGGAAATCTCACAGAAAGAAGTTTTTCAGTCCTGGCTAATACTAAACACATTCTAGATTACAGATCACTCCATATTTTGCATTAATCACTGGTGTTACTTTGGGGAAACAAATATCAAAATTGTCTTTCCCCAAAAGAGAGGGGGGGCTACAACTTAAGAGGAAAGTTGAATTTTAAGACTCCCAGTTGTTGAAATACTAGGAAAAGTTTATCTGTCAGGGGTGTTAAATTGTGCAATAAACTAAATAATGAATTAAAGCAATGCTCAAACATATTCCATTTTAAAAAGATGTTCAAAGAAACAGTGCTAATATTGAATAATGTGTAGCATGTATCAGTATTGTTGTGTATGTGTAATATCTGTATGTGAATCGAACTTTTGAATACATATTTTCATTGATTATAGATTTATATTCTCTGTAGAGGGGTAGGAGTCCATAAGTTTTACTTCTTCCAACTCCTTTTTGCACATGTAAATAGAGGTTTTTTCAAATACTGGTAAGTATGGAGTTTCAATTTATGATGTTCATCTGTTTTTTACCACCATTTTGATTATTTTTCAAATTTCTTTTACATGTTTAAAATAAAAGATATCAAGTAATCAATCAAACAATTGCATATTCTCCTTTTGGAATTGTGGCAGCAGGAAAGATCATTAATATGGAATTACGCCCTTTAAGCCAAGCAAGGTAAGTTAAGGTAAGGTAAACTTCTGGACTGCTTTTCAAGTCGTGATAGAGAGAAGAAAGGGGGGCTGGACTAAAACTTCCACTGTGGATGCTGTGGATCCATGACGCTTTGGAAGAGATTGCGCTTTTGGCTGTTGCGTTAGAAGGCGTTCTCCTTTTTCATTTGGGATTGCACTGTTGGGTTATCCATGTTCTGAGGTGAAGCCTTGATTTTTTATGCATAGCCTAGGTGTAAGGTAAGACAACCTGAAAGTTTCTTATTATAATTATTTCTTCAGATTGTACAGCCAATTGACTTTGGGCCGCATCGTCGTCACTTTAAGAAACAACAACCTTCATTTTATCTAAGAAAATAATGCTCCAGAGATTTTTCTAAATTAAGTTAATGGAAAAAGAAACAAAATATAACCACTCTGCCATGAAACAGTAGCTGTGTTATGTGGAGATGTGGAAAAAAAATTCACAAGCTCCTGTCGGACACATGCTGAGCTACAGCTCTAATGCCTACAAGACACAGGGGAAGCATGTTTTTTTTAACTAAAACTAATTGCTTGATGAGGCAGCAAGAACTTGAAGAGTAAACATTACACTGGATTTTGCAGAGCTTCATAGGGAAAAATTTTTTAACAATTTATGCCACCTATTCATTTGGCTGACATTGATATTTCAGATGTCTTTTAAATGAGCTACTTAACATTGGACATGAATGTTCATAGTCTGGAATTCCGCATAGGGAATTGGACACAATCTCATCCCCATCCCCAGTGAAAGAGTACACATTTTTTGACATTGAAAAAACTTTTATTAACCTTGTCATGTTTTTTTTTGTAAGTTTGTGTGTGTGTGTGTGTGTGTGTGTGTGTGTGTGTGTGTGTGTGTGTGTGTGTGTGTGTGTGTGTGTGTGTGTGTGTGTGGTGTGTGTGTGTGTGTGTGTGTGTGTGTGTGCGCGCGCGTGTGTGTGTGAAGGCATCTGCATTATCATTAGCAGGTGCTGTGTTAATGTTAATGATGACGGTTCCTTTTCCACCTCACAACCACAATGTTGCTGCTGAAACAAAAGAAGACGGTCAATTTGTATTGTGATGTACTGTATCTGTTTTCACCTCTGAAATGTGTGAAATTCTGTGATATGTAAACTTACAGAACCAGGCACAGCATCAGGAGGTGGATGAGACACCGCCTGGCCGCAGAACTTGCAGGCTATGAACTTGAGGTGCCGACTCCTTTTAGAACAACCTAACAATATTTCCATCACTAATATTAACAGCTGGAGGATGACGGTTCCTTTTCCACCTCACAACCACAATGTTGCTGCTGAAACAAAAGAAGACGGTCAATTTGTATTGTGATGTACTGTATCTGTTTTCACCTCTGAAATGTGTGAAATTGTGTGATATGTAAATTTACAGAACCAGGCACAGCATCAGGAGGTGGATGAGACACCGCCTGGCCGCAGAACTTGCAGGCTATGAACTTGAGGTGCCGACTCCTTTTAGAACAACCTAACAATATTTCCATCACTAATATTAACAGCTGGAGGATGACGGTTCCTTTTCCACCTCACAACCACAATGTTGCTGCCGAAACAAAAAAGACAGTCAATTTGTATTGTGATGTACTGTATCTGTTTTCACCTCTGAAATGTGTGAAATTGTGTGATATGTAAACTTACAGAACCAGGCACAGCATCAGGAGGTGGATGAGACACCGCCTGGCCGCAGAACTTGCAGGCTATGAACTTGAGGTGCCGACTCCTTTTAGAACAACCTAACAATATTTCCATCACTAATATTAACAGCTGGAGGATGACGGTTCCTTTTCCACCTCACAACCACAATGTTGCTGCTGAAACAAAAGAAGACGGTCAATTTGTATTGTGATGTACAGTATCTGTTTTCACCACCTTTGCATTTGTTGTATGTTTTGTTTTTTCTCCATCTCCTTAATCTATGCAGCTTCGTTCCTTGTGTTTATTTCACCTTCAGTTGTCTCCTCATGCCCTCTTTCTCCTTCGTCTTATCTGCAGTCATTCTGTTTATGAAAACGTCTGAAATGTCTGAAATGACATCCAAGCAAAGAAAAAAGTAAGAATTAAACCTTACACTCTTCTTAGCTTACAGAATCATATTTTTTTATATGTAATGCCATATTACTAAATATTTTCACAAAATTTACTTTCTTCCATTAGAAATTGTCCAGTACATAACCTCCATAAAACCTTAGATTTTACACTCTGTTCATGGATTAAACAAAAGGAGATGTAATCTCTCTCTAGCTCACTTTCTTAAGATACATATACTGATTTCTAATAAATCCCTTGAACAAATAGGTCTATTGGAAACAATTATTATAAATTATAGATAGAATATACTTTTCTGTAAGGAGGTACAAATAATCAGTAATTCTTGCTCGCAGGTGAATAAAACACCTCCACTAGCCTTGAGGTTATAGCTTGTTTGGCTGTAATTGTATCCATGTAACCAAAGCAAACCAATTGAATAATTTTAATTGACTTGATATAAAGCATACTCAATACATTAATATGTATGATTCAGTTCAATTTTATTTATATAGCGCCAAATCACAACAACAGTTATCTCACAGCGATTTTCATAAAAGAGCAGGTCTAGACCGTACTCTATGATGCTATTTACAGAAGCCCAACAGTTCCCACCAAGAGCAGCACTAGGAGAAGGAGGCAAGGAAAAAGAGGAGCTCAGTGCATCATAGGAAATCCCCCGGCAGTCTAGGCCTATAGCAGCATAACTAAGGGATGGTTCAGGACTCACCTGAGCCAGCCCTAACTATAAGCTTTATCAAAGAGGAAAGTCTTAAGCCTACTCTTAAATGTGGAGATGGTGTCTGCCTCCTGAACCCAAACTGGAACCTGGTTCCACAGGAGAGGAGCTTGATAGCTGAATGCTCTGGCTCCTAGTCTACTTTTGGAGACTCTAGGAACCACAAGTAACCCTGCATTCTGGGAGCGCAGTGCTCTGGTGGGGTAGTAAGGTACTATGAGCTCTTTAAGATAAGATGGTGCCTGACCATTAAGAGCTTTGTAGGTAAGAAGAATGAGATGACAGGAATCCACTGCAGCTCTCTTAAATAAAAACAAGTCTAAAACCCTTCTAATGCAATTTCTGAGTCTCTGGTAAAAGCCGAACATAAGGTGAAACACTTTCCAGGGGAAGTATTAGACTAATTTAATCCATCTGAACAGCTCTGGGGACTGAGGCAGGAAGATAATCAGGTCAGAGTGGGTGAAACACAATGCTGGGCATTATAAATTGGCCTTGAGGAATCAGCTGTAGTGGTACACAGTGACATCGGCTGCACATCCAGCAGAGTCTGGTCCTTTCTGGTCATTAAAGCTAATGAGTCCAGGCTCTCAGCATCACGATGGCTGTCAGCGCTGCGTCCCCACAGCAACAGTAAGGACAACAAGGTTCCGGAAGCTGACACAATCAAAAATACAGGGATGGGTCATTGAGGTTAGGCAGCATGTTCCTGCCATGTTTTGATAAGATCTTCAATACTGTCAGGTTAATGGGAAAGGTCAAGATGATTCCCTGCTGACACATTCGCTGAAGTCAGTCAGAGGCCATGTTCAAACCAAAGAAATGCAATGACATCCTTACTCTGCCGACAGCGATCTATTACTTTTTTCCTTTTTTCTGACAAATGCACTTATTGTAAGTCACTTTGGACAAAAGCGTCTTACTAAATGCCCTAAATATAAAATGTAAATGAGCGCCATTGACAAGATTAAATGCAATCAAGAAAGTCCAGTTTGAATAATACATCCATAACCTGAAGCACTTTTCACTTGGGGGAGCTCACAAGAGACAGATTTTTAATATGAAAAGTAAAAATCTAAGCATCAGAGGCTGGGACTTTAACTTTTAGTCTTACTTTTAGTCTGAGTCAAACTTAAAAAAAATGCTGGATTCTACAATTACCATAATTCAAGTAGATAGCATCTTTCATTAAACCCTTCTCGTCTTTCACATGCCCTCCATCTTTTAGAATCTACACCTCACACCACATGTGTTGTGGTGCTACAGAATCTCCCCACTACCTTGTGTTCTTTTGTTCCCCCCTTCCGTGTGTTTTCTGTCTGTCCTCCCTGTCTGTGTTTGTCTGGGCGTGGCTACACTCTCTGGCTCCAGCGGCTCACCTGGTCCTCATTCCACTAATCAAGCTCCTGCAGTATTTCAACCCCAGTCCTCCTCACATTCTTCGCCAGATCGTCAGTTAACCACATGTGGATCACACTACCTCTGGGAACTCTGCTGAACGCCACACCTCGCTCTGCTCACATCTTGCCTGGACAAACTCTCTTCCGTTGCACTTTTCAATAAAACCCTTTGTTACCCCTTCGAACTGTTCCGAGTCTGCCTTTGAGTCCTTAAGTTCTTGTATTATGACAACATGTCAGGCTTTCTGTCAAAAAGCAAACAAAGGTCACTCAAACAGTATTGTCTCTTCCATATCCATTATCCTTGCCTGATATTTACCAAACGAAGCATGAGTTTAACATAATGTGTAGCTCCACACAGATTCCGAATGGTGCTGTTGACAGTGCTGAGCGTGGGACTCCAGATGAGGTAAGATTTTAGAACTTCTTGAGGGCCTGTACCAGTGAGCTATCAATGGGTGCAAATGTTTTTTTTATGTAGAACTTATGTTTACTATATATATATATATATAGTAAGATACTGTGTTGGAATCTGAGTTTAATTGATGGCTTAGCGCTGCCTTTAGTTTGAGATGCAACAGCTGTGTTGTCAAATGGATTAGTGTCAACAGTAAATGTGATGTTGCCTCCTGACTGGCAAGTTTACCATGTCTCTGTAAATATCTGAATAAAATAAGCATCTATTTGTAACATTGTTGATAATCTGAGCTGCTCTGTGATCAGTCAGATAGGCAGCAGGGGAGGAAGGCCTGTCCAGAATTGACAGGTGCAGTCGCTGGTTTTGGAATGTAACTGAAATAAGAGGATGAAATAAATCCCTATGCTGCTTTTGAAATGTTGAATAATATGTTTTGGAGTATCAAGTTCAACATATGTCAGATCATCAAATTCTTATTAACTTAAATGAGTGACTGCATGTTGCCCTAAAAATCCTTATTTGAGCTTCCATACAGAGAAAAATGAGTTGGTGGTGACAAAGATAAAATTATATTTATTATAATTATATATTATTATTATAATAATTGTATTTCTTAACCATAATGTCTTGTATGTAATTTTATCTTGTGATTTTATACCTGTGATTATTTTTAAGGCTGACTTTTTTACACTTGGCTGGGGGACTACCGATGAAAATTAGCACTTTTTAGCTAACTTGGGTACATTTACATTGTTTTAATGTTGATTAATGTACACTGTCCCCTTTTAAATAAAAAATAAAATAAAAAAAAAAACATTTCAAACCGATGGTAAATGCAAAATGTAAATGCTCCGTACTTGTATAGCGCCTTTCTAGTCTTTTCGACCACTCAAAGCGCTTTTACACTACATCTGCATTCACCATTCATACACATTCATACACTGAGCCTAAGTGCTCAAACGGAAACTAACATTCATACACTGAGCCTAAGTGCTCGAACGGAAACTAACACATACACATTCATACACTGGCGGAACAGCCGCCAGGGGCAATGGTTCATTTATCTATAGGTGATTACCACAAGTGTGCTTTAGCTCACTTTACAGAGACAGAAAAGTCAATAATAAACGGCCATAGTTTAACTAATCAGCAGTTAGAGAGAAAAACAATAGAAGTTGTAGAGAACGGGAAACTAATAGTCTGTGAACCTCTGATGAAAATAGTCTTGACTGGCTGTAAATGTGAATGGTCAGTAGACCAATAGCAGTGGGAGGTTGGGGGCTGACTAATGCTTTAGCAAGTTAATGGGGCCCATTAATAAGGACTTGGTTTGTGGGCAGGTAGAAAGGCTTAAAGCCTATAGGTTCTGTATAACAGCAAGGAGAAATAAAAATGAACAGTAATTCATCTTCTGTGGTTAGCGCTCTATTGAGATAAATGCATGAAAAAAGACTAAATAAAATGTGAATCACATTCATTGCCCTTGAATCTTCAACATTTACATTGTGTGCGTTTATGCAGCCACGGAGCTCTTTGATGATCATGTACCTTAAACTCCATGGGCGTGTACTTCTCATTGTTTGGCGAGATGTTGTCCTTGTAGTTAAGGTGGTTCAAGGTGGTGGGGTGAATGATGGCGGACTCCTGCAAAGGCTTATGGAAATGTTGACAGTAGACGTGGATCAGAAAGGACAGCAGTGCTGCCCCGAAGAAACAGGAAACGCCGGTAGCAATTAGGTGGATGGAGGTGAATGCTGGGAAATGAAGAAGATAGTGGACTGTAAAGGCTCACCATCCATTATCACATCCTATTTTGTATCCTATTCTGTTTTAAATTATTCCGATTTAAGATTTCAGGTAATGTTTTACATGTGATGTGATCTAATACAGTCTGGTGTTTTCATGTGCATTTAATTGGAATAGATGTGTGACATACATGCATTTGTCCTCCTCCTCAGTAGCTACTTTTCAGCACCATTGGATTTTAAGTTTGTTCAATGTTTTGGGCTTTCACGGCTTTGTTAATTTTTTTGTGGACTTGTTTAAATAAGTTGTAATTTCTTATATTTTCATAGTCTATGTGTCAAGTAACGATCAGTTCTATAAGTATCAAAAGCGAACTTTCTGCAGAGGGCCAGTTTTAGAGACACCAGTTCACCTAGCCTGCATGTCTTTGGATGGTGAGAGGAAGCCGGAGCACTCGGAGAGAACCCACGTGGAGAACATGCAAACTCCACACAGAAAGGCCGGGGAAACTGGTTTGAACCCACGACCCTCTTTGCTGTCAGGCGTGTCTATAATTTATAATATGCTTAATAATTGTATTTTCTTACTTCATATATGATCAGTTCACTATTTATAAATTAAGTATTATTTTAATGAAAAACCATTTATGTACAAGTTGTTAATGGTTCATAAGATCATTTGGAAAGTTTAAGAAGAGTATTACATAACTGCCTGTTTTGATACTTTCCCACGAAAGAATATAAACAATTTCAGCATAACTCGTAAATCTACCAGTGGCAAAGCCCAAAGGATGCCACTAAGACTACCCGAAAGATGCCCCAGCTAACTTCACAGGGTAAAATGCTCAACGTTACAGGCCTGGTATTAATTCTGGTAGTTACTAATGGTTAGTAAAGTATTTTGCGTGAGCTCATATAAAGTGAGGAGTATGTAGTGAACAACGGTGTGGATTTGTGCATTTTATATTGAATAAATTTGGAGCTACCCTAAATTCCTTTCTCCTCCCCAGAGAAGAAGGGGAGGGGTCAAAGTTGCTTTCTCTAAGTGCTATCCCGACCATAAAACTGGCACCTTTTTGATTCCGAAGCTGATAACGCAGGGCCTGACTGTTAAACTGACAAAGGGACACGAGCCAGCCATTGGCATCTCCCTAAACAGCCTATCAAAACTGCCCCCCACACACACACACGTTTCCGTGGCAACTGACTATTTTGTTTTATTACCACATCAAAAAGGAAAACCCCTGTCTCACCCAAGTGTGACATGGTCCAGACACTGAACTTTCAATGTAAAAGGACTGCAGTCTCCAAAGACTCAAAGCATTTAATTGAGTTAATTAAATCTTTAGTTACCTGATTACGTTTGCCTGTATTTGAGTAGTTATGTTAACTGTTGTTGCTATCTGTTGTTGATATTAGTGCTGAAAAGAAGTTACTTGTGCAGTGTTTTTATTTTCAGCAAGACACTCCTTCATCTAATGTAATCAATGCTTGTTCATAATACTTTCCTACAAAATTCCTTTAGAAATGATGACAAAGGAATGTTTTACTACACTCTTAATCGCCAGCTTGAATTTAAGGATGAATCAACAATATTCCCAGTTCCTAAGGAGAGACGATCTTTGATTTAATCCAAGCTTTCCTCATGTAACCTGAGCTCCCCCAAAGGGACGAAATAAGTATTACATGCCCTCGTCGGAAATGCCGTTAAATGTATAAATATCCTGACCAATAATGTGACAATTGTTTCCTGTTACCAGATGCCTAGAACAGTACAACCGTTCAACCATTGAGGTTCGATTGTGGAAAATATTTGATTATAATACGTGCAAATAGATTAAGTTTAGAAATGCAGTCCCTTGGGAAACCTGAGACGCCCCCTGGGGAACCACGCCCCAGGCAACAAAAGAGCGACACGCGACCTCGCTCCTCTCTTCGCTGTCCGCTCTCTTCCACTCTGCTCGGCCCTCTGGACGCTTCTGCACGCGTGTGGCGTGCCTCGCCAGGCAACGCCCAGACTCGGCCAGCGAAACAAACAGGCCCTTTTGTTCGCCTGAAGCTACACACCTGAAGTGCCGCGACATCGATCTGCCTTCAGTTTGTTTCATTTTCTTTATTTCTTTTGTTTGTTAAAGTTATCAGTCGTTTAAGTTACACTGGACTAATTCAGGAACGACCAAGTTCCATTTTAAGCCTTTTTCGTCAAGCCAACTTCACCGAGGTCAGACCAAGCCACGTGGTCTCGCCAGCTACAACCAAGGAAACCAGCAAACAGCCGAATTGCCAGACGGAGGAGGCGTTTTCAATCGGACACGGAGAACCCCGGAGAATCCCTAGCAAAAAGCCAGGATCGGGCAGCTAGCGTGGGACCCGTGCAACAGGCCAAAAGCAGGCTGTCGACAAGCAGTAAGACTTAACACACGTTCTGTGATCAGATGTCCATTTTAACTCCTAAAATCACAGCATTAGTTTACTTTCATTAGCTCTTCTATGCCGTATGAGTCAAATGCTTCCCACAGTCGAACCTCCAGGCTCATTGTTCAGCAAATGTTTATGTTCCCTGTATCCAACCATCTTTTTATCACCTTAGTTAGAGAATAAATTCACTGTAATATAGTCAAGAGCTGTGTGTGTTGCCTATTTATAGTTCCTGCCAAGAGAATTGACCCTTTAGATATGAGACTGACTGACTGATTTAAGATAATTGAGCGATTATTAACTAACTGATCACTAGTAATAATTGTATAATTATTCAAAACTACCTAGAGGTCCGGAGACTCTAGGATTATAACAACTCCGGTGGTGCCCTTAACAAGGAAATTTTGATTTTATTAATTTTAATTCATAATTGGGTATCAATTCTCATAAATTTATTAAAATGCATAACTAATAAATTTAGGTCTGCTACAAGTATCTATACCTCATTAACAATTTACCTTCAACAGCATGCAGCAAAATAAGAGAGAGTTCCAAATTACTTTGCTAGTGCTTTGTCTTTCAAACTTGCTATCATTATCACTCCAAAGCTGTAGCCTAGTCTTAAACTTGTGAGTCTTAAAACTTTAATCCTTCTAGAGTCTGTGTCTCTTCTTCTCTGTCCTCCCTATTTCTGGTGTAGCATAGGCTGTGCAGGGTGAATTGAGGAATGTGCTCCACCCCCCGCACCTCCTTCCCTCCCTCTGTTTTCTCAATGAGCCACATCAAGTTGTGTGTTTTAACTGTCATGAGCATCTTCAGGTAATCTTGCGTTCAATTATATAAAATGTCTTATTACACTAGTGCAGTCATTTAAACTTTCTCTTAGGGGAATTCAGGTTTGTCTGTGGTGCTTGGTCATTTGGTGAAGTAGGCCTTTTTAAAGGGCCTTCATCTTTATCTTATTTTGTATTTGCTCTTCATAATTATAAATCAGGACTAAAATGCGCAGCAGCATGCAAATATTTTTTAAGTAATCACTAAAACAGGTTTATCAACTTTTACTAAACCTTTGGAATAATTCTGTCCCCAAATATTGTGAAATGAAATTGACCAGTTATAGACAAGATTGCTATCAATTTTGCAATGTACTTGTTTCTAAATTTTATAGGATTGCATTTTATTTATTGACTGCATTACAGAAACGTCCATTGTTGGCTGGCATGTAATGACACAGAGTTCCCTCTTAGTTCCTTCTTAGCTAGCATGGAGCGACACTCCAGCATGGATGAATTAAAGAATGGGGTATTTCTATTAAGAGAATATTGTAATCTAAACTAAATATTTCATTTTTAGTTACACTTACAAAATAAGGACAATTCTTATGTAGCACAAAAAAAAAAAAAACTACAAGTGTTAACAGCGTCCAAATAACTCTAAATGTAGTCTTTCAGTAACATATAGACAATGTCCCTCATTCTAAACTAAAGCCTTACTCATAACTAAGTCACTAGTCATGCTAACAGGCCTCCTCTTTCCCTTTAGTAAAAAAAAAAGATAGAATTATAAAAAAATATAGTTTACAACTTCATCAACTGGAAACTTCAAGAGCTAAAGTTTGATCCTTCTACTGAGAACCAGCTGCCTTTTGCTAATTAGGCTTTATTAGACTATTACAGAGGTCATGAAATCCAGAACCCTTCCTTGGGGATGAAGTATTCAAATGCTAGTTAACTACTTTGTTGACATAACAGGACAGTAGTTTTCTGTTGAAAATAAAACAGAAGTTTATAATAAATCTCCTACAGGTAAAAGAATAAAAATCAGCTTCTTTATTTTGGCTCAACCGTGATCTGTGCTAATAACACTTATTGCACGTTCCAAAGCTCAACAGGAACCAGCAGCTTCAACAACAAAAGTCTGTAACAATATCTATCATATGGCTTTTTATTTTTTATGTAATGCCCAGATTTACCACGGGGTTCTTGACTAGCCAGAACAGGATGTTCAGCAGTCTTACACTGTTTCATTGCAGGTCTTGCATTCAACCATAGTGGCTAGTTTGCCCTTGACAATAAGGTTTTAGTAAAAAGTCTCATCACTGCTGCAACCTCTTTTTTGAGACCATGCTGTTTCTATTTTTTTTTTTCTAGTGCCCCCTTCCATAGCATTTTTCAGAGACACTACAAAAGAGGAAAACAGATTGCCATCGATAACCCGAACTCTAGGGTTAACTCGTAATTTTCATTACATTTGTTATGTAGTAAATCTACAACTGCAAAGCAATTTAGTGATCACTACCATGTAGTGATCAAATGCCAATGCTCTCTCTCTCTTCCCCATATTTAAAATGTGTAAAACTAATACCGCAAAACTCATCAGGATCAATCTTCTGTGTGTAAGTTAACATGTTGCAAATTTTACCCTTGCTACTAAGAGTTAGTACAGGACACGCAACATTAGTCCTCATTTTCTGAGCTGCTTTCTGAACTGCTTTTGTCAAACTTTGTGAGACGTGAAAACATTAATTTCACCCCCACAATGTTTCTACATCACTGAAAAGAGCATGTGAAAATCTAGTTTTGGGGAGAAGT